ACTGTCTTATACTGATTGTTTTGATGTATTTGGCTTGCAGGATCTATATCTACATATATCTATATATCTATGTATACCTCTATCTATATATCTATATTCTATTACTTTACAGGAGCAATATAAGTGCAACACAATTTGTATTGTATAAAATATACCATATGTGTACTTAACAGGAATAGAAACCAAAAAAAAAAAAAAAAAGTGCCAGGAATCTGTTCCCTTTCTTTCCTACAACTCTAAGGAGTTATAACAAAATATTTACTTGTCCCTTGGGCTTCATCTTTCTAGACAATAAAATAAGAGGACCACAAGTTCATTTGCATTCATTTACATATAATCTGCGAAGGAAAATTATACTATATCACTTGATGTTTTCAAAGAGAATAATTTCCTCTTTCCCCTCTTAAGTCTGTGGGGATATTTTAAACCATAATGACATCTAGGGAAGAAAGACCAAAAATAACAAAGGTACTGATACACATGGCTTCTGTTTTCATAGACTTAATTTTCAGGTTTTCCAGGGACAGAAGTATATGGGGATGGATCTCAGAAATACTGTCAGAACAATCACTGGAAGAAAGCTGTTTCTTTTCTTCTTATTTGCAATAGCATTCTGCCCTATCTAAACTGTCAGTGCAGTGGACTTTCTCCTATCTTTCCTCTATGTTGAAAGTGAAAGGTGTGTGTTGGCTCAAATGTGCCCTGTTGCCTTGGGGGATGAGCCCGCAACCTTGAACTCCACAGAACTAACTCTGGTATGGGGACCACTGATTACTTCTATACCAAGTGCAGTGGATGGACCTGTGGACTGGCACTGTGACCCAATACTGTATTAAGAAAAAGAAAGAGAACTTGCATTTCCATGTATCCATTTTCTTGTTTCTAGAGACAAGAATGAAAAAAATTCTTATAAGATGATGAGACTCAAATTTGAATTTTTATCTAACTTTTCTCATTAAATCAAGGTGTGGGAAAATTCTTGTAAAAACATAATGTGACTCAGAGTTTCGCAATCTGCTTAAATTTTTTTGAGGAAATAAGGTTTTCCTCTCATTGTAAACTTGGGCTTATAGTGCTTTACACTAGTAGAAGAGAACCAAAGGAGAAAAGTAAGAAAGAAGTGAAACTGATTAGTCAAGAACTAGAAACTTCTAATACCTTAAAAAAAAAAAATTTAAAAAGGCCTCTATGGGGCTGGTGATATAGCTCAGTGGGACAGTGCCCTGCTTGGCAAGCATGAGGTTTGAGTTCGATTCCTGGTACCAAAAAAAGAAAACAATAACAACAACAACAACAACACATCTATGTTCATGTCCTGTCCACCCTTGCTCCCCAGCATTCTATGTTAATTTTCTTTTTTTCTTTTTGCGGAACCAGGTGTTGAACTCAGGCCCTTGCGCTTGCCAGGGAAGTGCTTATTCTACTGAGCCATCTCCCCGGCCCCTCTATATTAAGTGCTAAATGATATTTATTACAGCAAATGGAGAGATGATTTAAAATCACATTATAGTTTAGCAGATCATTCTAGTGAGAAGTTTAGAATCAGACACAGGCTTCACATTCCCCCAGAAGGATGCAGTAAGTGCGGTGCTGTGCCCTGTGGTAGTTGCTTTGTTTAACCTTCCTGCAAACCTTTGCTGTGAATACTGTCATGGGCATGATTGCCTTCATTAACTAGTTCTAAACCTATCCCAAAGAAAAAAACAAGTTGTATGAAAATGATGTAAGTTTTGCCAGATTATTCAAAAAGAATCATCTGGATAGTTCTTTTTTAAAACCACTACAAAGAGCATGGACCTTTACATGATGAACATGGAAAAGGGCTGTTCATACCCAGTGTGTTCAGCTTGATGAGTTGGAGGGTACGTGTACACCAACGAGAGGGTAGCTGTCATCAAAACCATGAATGTTCAGGATCTGTCAGTTTCCTCTTTTGTCCTTTATATTGTATTTAAAGCGCTTGAGGTTTAAGTGGATAAAGAGAAAACCAGGGGCTGGGGCTCTAGCTCAGTGGTACAAACATGTGCCTGCCATGTACGAGACCCCCTCCCCCAATCACCAGCTAGTTCATTGGTTCTCTTTATCTGAAACATAAAAGATTGTTTGGGGAGGGTGGCAGAGAATACCAACCTTTAAAAATACACACACACTTTTATTATTTTGCTTTTGTTGGCATTTAAATCATCAAGATGGATGACAGTGGTAATTATAGGGGCTCATTGCACATCTGGAGAGTGATTTGGGCCAATGTAAAGGCAGCTGTGCCACCTCGGCTTAAATTATCACCTGCGGAGCACCATGTGAGGAGTAGCTGTGGTGCCATATTGGGGATGTGAAATATTGGCCGTCTGTGGCCTGCCTTGAGTTAGGCAGCTGCTCTCTTCCCTTGAGCAGTAGATGTGTTCAGGCCTCCAAATATTGGAAGGCATTTTGTGTGATTTGGAGTAGAATAGAAAATTAACCTTTTTCTCTAATAGGAGAAGAAGATTGGAAACTTTAGAACAGAAGCAATTATCTTGTGAGAGGAGAAGAAACATAGTTTGAAAATACCCAGTTGTATGTTCTTTTAATTGTTATGGTGACATTGAGTAATCCAAGGAAACGGTTGTGACAGGTTGTCCAGTTCCCAAATAGGAGGGCTGGTAATCTTTGAGATAAGCCAGAATTCTAGATTGAAGTGCGTTGGTGTAGAAAAATATGACTTTTTTTTTTTTTTGTGTGTGTGTGTCTGTCTGTCAGAGAGAGAGAGAGAGAGAGAGAGAGAGAGAGAGAGAGAGAGAGATTGAGGTTTCCATTTCCATTCCCATTAAGGAGCAGCCAGCCATAGGAAATCGTAAGCTGTGGCCCCTGTAGCAAGCCCTCTTGGCTATTAGCACAGTGCAGTATTTATCTTTTTTTTTTTTTGCAGAACTGGGGATTGAACTCAGGCCCTTGCGCTTGCCAGGGAAGTGCTTATTCCACTGAGCCATCTCCCCAGCCCCAAGCCAGATCTCTAGCCAGGTTATGTTGGTGGCTTGGTCGAGGGCAGACTGGGCATGGGAGAGGAGACGAGACGCTTGCAGGTGTTGGTGCTGTGGCCCGTGGGCAAGTGTTGAGTACAAATGAGCCAGAGCAATCCTCAGGATATAATGTGCTTTATCGTACTGTGTTCTGACCCAGTTCTGTCTTCCTCCAAAGAGCCTATTTTCCAGTTTTCTTCAATGGGCAGGAAAGGAGGGGCCAACAGGCTAAGTACTGTCCATGTCATCATTTTGCAGGAGGGGATGGACTCCTACCTCATTCTGCTGTATGGAGCCTGGGGCCTCAGACCGCTGTAGAGAGCACAAGTGCTTGCCCAGATGTACTCAAATGTGCAGAGGCCTTACTGGCCTCGTAAGCAGCCTTCATTTCCCTGGTTCTGTACTTGGACCTCTGAGGCACGAAACTCAAATGCAGAACATGTTAATCGTGGGATAGGAAGGAGCAGTTTCTAAAAAATTGGTTTCTTTCAATTTCTGTTTCTCTTCCCCCTTAGTTCCTAAAATCAGGGAATACAGAAGTGGGGTCAGACAATTGCTTGCTGTGACTGAAGCTTCCTGACCAGGGCTGGGGTTTGAGAAATATCCCGTGCTCAGCTTACAGCTAAAGGTGTGTGTGCTGTGGTGTTAGACATTTGCTGTGGGAGAAACCTGAAAATTACTAACTGAAGATGCCAGCCAGCAGCGCAGTGTGGAAAATGGGAGCACATTGCAGATCGTCAGGAGCTGGTATTTTCCTCAGTTGTCTTGGAAGATTCCTATTCCCTGGTTGTCTTGGTCAAGTCTCTTATTCATGTCAAAGTGAGATTTTGTTGGAAGATAGAGGCAGAAAGGAGGTACAGAAAGAAGAAGCAGAAAGAAGGTGATGTGGCATTTCTGTTACCCCATGTGAAGGGAATCCACTCCCTCAAGGAGTGCTATGCAGCTTTCACACGAATGCAGTTAGCTAGAGGAGCTTGAGAATTTGCTGTGAGCAAGGTGCTCCTTCTTGATCCCTGTTAATATTCTGACTGCGGTTGAAGAGTGAGCCTGGGGCCATGGACCATTGTGAGGATCCAGAACTGGGTGTAAAGTCACACTGGCGGGGCTGGTGAGATGGCTCAGTGGTCTAAAGCACCTACTTAGAACAAGCTAAGCTTAGCAAAGCACAGGGACCGCGGTTCAATCCCCCAGCACCACATGCCAGCCAGCCCCGCCCCCTGGTGGGCTGAGTTGGCCACACACACACACACACACACACTAAATAAATAAATAAATAAATAAAGTCACACTGGCTCAGGGACCTGAGACAAGGGACATGCTTATTTAGGTGACTTTGTACCCACTTGTACTTGGAATGTGCAGTAAGCCTAACGAGTACCTGGAGTATGAATGGCCACCAGAATGGGTGAGCATAGGAATGAACTCTGATGATGAGGAAGGCTTCCGCTTTCTGAGGGTAGTATCTGGGGAGGTAAGATCTGTGGTCCAGAAGCAACAATCTGCATGGCACTGCACGTTCTCAGGATATCCTCAGGTTTGTGAGAGGAGGCCGGCATGTGTCTCTCTGTAAGCATCCCACAGTGGACCTGCAATGTGGCCTCAGTCAGGCTTGTGCTTCAGGCACCTGTGACTCAGGGTGCCTTTCATCCCGGCCTCTCCCCCTCCCTCTGCCCCACTGGGCAGCTAGACGTGGGCCAGTGGCCTGGTAGGAGCCCTGGGTTCTTTGCTTGTTATCTTTGGCATCTGGCAGCATTCACTCAACTTCCGTGAGCTTCTGTTTGTCCATCAGTACAGTGAGAGAAAGAACAAGGTTCTGTCTCAGGGCTGCCCTGGGGATCAGGTCTCACACGTAAACTCTGCGTGGCACAGGGTAATGCGTACCAGCTGTCATTATTGCAAGTGCTGTCCAGAGGGTGGTCTGATAACCCTGGGGCTTTTCTGAGGTGGACTGAGCTGACTGCCTTTGTTCTTTCCTCTTTCTCCTTTCTTACCTTCTCTCAGGACGGTTCCCTGGGAAACATTGATGACCTGGCACAGCAGTACGCAGATTATTACAATACGTGCTTCTCAGACGTTTGTGAGAGGATGGAGGAGCTGCGGAAACGGCGGGTGTCTCAGGACCTCGATGTGGTAAGTGGCGGCCCCGGGAATATGTTTCTGCTAAATGGCACAATTCCTATTCCTGCTGGGGTCCCGCAGCCTCTAGTCCTTCTAACAGCCCCTCCAGGCCCAGAGCTCCCATTTGTCCTTGTAGGCAGTAAAAAAAAAAAAAAAAAGACCCACCCAAAGACCAGTGCAGTTATCTTGCAGGTATGTAATGCAGTGTATTTTGGCTGCGGTAATAGGACCGAATCTTTGTGGTCACTTGGAGACTGGATTTTTTTTTTTTTTTTTTTTTTTTTTTTTTTTTTTGTGGAGAACCAGGGATTAAACTCAGGCCCTTGCGCTTGCCAGGCAAGTGCAAATTCTACTGAGCCATCTCCCCGGCCCCTTTAATTCTTAACTAAAGAGGAAATAATATTTTTATTATGGATTGGTAAGCTCAAAGGGTGCCTGTGTAAGCAATTTTCTTCCTTCTCCTCCAAGCCTCTTTCCTTCTCTTAGCTTATTTATTTATGTATTTATTTACTGAAAGACAGATAATTTATAGAATGAAAAGGTCACCCATAATGTCTTGCCTAAAAATAAACATGTGGGCATCTTATAGGTTTTCTTGCAGCGTTTTTCTGGACATTTAAAATTTTGCAATACAGTTTTCTTCTGTGTGTTAAAAACTTTTATCTTGGTTTTTACTCAACACTTTATTATAATTCATCTTCTGGGATATTGAAATCTCTTAGCAGTCACCAACTTTTACGATTCTATGTTCCCCTCTCACTTAAGGACATTGAAAGTCATTTGGCTTCTTTGTAAAGATCTCTGCAGGTATAACTAGTGGAATGTTTGGTATTGTGTGGGGTAAATAGCCCAAGAGTTTTTTTTTTTTTTTTTTTTTGGTTTTTTTTTAGAACCAGGGGTTGCACTCAGATTCTTGCGCTTGCCAGGGAAGCGCTTATTCCACTGAGCCATCTCCCTGGCCCTCACAAGAGTTTTCTATAAAGTCCATACATATGCTGGTAGTTCCATGTTGGAAAATATCTTCCTGAAATCTGACACTGATGACTTTAAATTTGCTACCTAGGCGATTCATTTCAGCTTTGCACTGCTTGGATCCAGAGCCTCACACATCCCAGGCACCTGCCCGACCAGTCCATTATATCCCCAGCCATTTTACATTTTAAAGCCTGGTCTCACCAAGTTGTCCAGGCCAACACTGCAGTTGTGCTCCTCCTGGTTTAGTGTCCTGAGTAACAGGGATTATAAGCACAGGCACCACGGTTGGCAGTACTGTGCTTTTCAAGTTGTCTTTTTTAAAAAACTTTATTTATTTATTTAGTGTGTGTGTGGCCAGCTCAGCCCACCAGGGGGTGGGGCTGGCTGGCATGTGGTGCTGGGGATTGAAACACGGTCTCTGCTTTTGCTTAGCTTAGCTTGTTCTAAGGAGGTGCTTTAGACCACTGAACCATCTCACCAGCCCCTCAAGTTGTCTTATTGTGTGCTGACCTATGGGGACCCCCCACCCTACCTCCTGAGGGGAGAAAGTGGAAAAAGTGTCTGCCTTCCATACCTCTCCCAGAGAGCTCCCTTTAGGACGCTGGCCTATGATGGGGGCTACATGGACCTGTCCACAGCACCTCTCTGCCTTTAAAAAAGTTTTCTTTTTCTTTTTCTTTTTTTTTTTTTGTGGAACTGGGGCTTGAACTCAGGCCCTTACGCTTGCCAGGGAAGCGGTTATTCCACTGGGCCATCTCCCTGGCCCCAAAAGGTTTAAAAGGTGCTGATTGAGTTAAAACGTTACTTACCTATAAACTTTTCTATAAATGTACTTAGTGTGGGAACAGAGAATTAGGTAACTGATGTAGAAGTAATTAGACCAGATAAATCTTTTTACATTGTATGAAAGAGTTGTGTTTTAGAAGGGGCACAAGAGCTTGGGTGGCGCAGCAAGTATGTTCTAGGCATGAACATGGTCTGTTTCCGCTGAAGTGTGCACTTAACGTTCTTGTGTACATTAGTTTTCCTCAGCTCAACCTAGCTAAAGATCCCTGGGTCAGAAAATTACATAGGACTGCCAAGAAGTAATTCTTGCTCTTTGCTTCTTGTTCGCTAATTGAGCGGTCTACAGGGATTGGCATTAGCTTAAAAGGGTTGGTTGAGGCTAAGAAGTGTCATTTGGGGGCGGAAGGCCATCATCCCAGACCTTGGTGCAAGCCGGTGCAGGGGTGTCACCGTTACGTCTTCCCCTGACTGTGTACTTTGGTGTGTGTGAATGGTGGGGGCATTTCTTTTTAAGAAAATAGCCTCATGTGTCAGAAGACTTGCATGCTTGGCTGAAATAAATAATCTCCCCTGTTGGGGTATAGCTAATGAAAAAATACTTGGATTTTGGCAGTACCGCATTTCACTTTTTCTTCTTTTTGTCCTGCTGGGGACTTGGCCTAGGGTTGTGTACGTGGTAGGTGTGAGCTGTCCACTGAGCCCATAATTTTGAAGTGTTACTGTTTTGACTTGGAATGTTAATCCTTTTTGGTTTTCCTGGGCATTTCTGGTACCCAGAAATGAGGACTGTGAATTGGTAGGTGATTGTTGATACAGCACTAGCTTGCTCTTTCTGGCCTTCTAACTGGTCTCAGAGTTGGGACCACCAGAATCACTCTGATGCAGTTCAGGAACCTCAGAATGCCGCTTCGAGGTAGGACAGCAAGCCTGCCTGTCGGTGGGATAAATAGCCTCTTTTCAGTTTAGACAGATGGGACTAATTTGGTGTGCTCTCTTCCAGAACAGCAAAAGACAGTCTGTGGGGGAAGAACCCCACCACATGAGCTTAATTAGTTACCATCAAAGGTGTAAGAACTTGGTGGTGGGTAAAATTGATGGGCACTAATGCAAGCCAGGCTGGAAGCATGACTGTTCATTCTTTAAATTGCAGCCAGCAAGAGGAGTAAGATCCTAGATTGGCACATTCAAATCTGTGAAATTCCTGGCAAACTACAGCAATAAAAGGGATCATCCCCTCCTCGCCCCTTGGGTACAAGGAATTAAACCCAGGGCCTTCACACTGAGCTCCATTCCCAGCCCTTGTAGAGATTTTTTTTTAAAACTCTGAGACCGTGTCATGCTCAGTGGCCTCAGGTGGACCTCAGCTTGCAGTCCTCTTGCTTGTTCCTCTCAGAGTAGTGGGCTGACAGGCATGTGCCCGTGGCGGGCTATAAAAATATTTTTAAGGTGTTGAAAATCGAGTAAGAAGTTGGATGTTTCCTGTGTCAGCTGCATGGCTTGGAAGTCTGGAAGACCATGTTAGACAGGTTCTAAGGTTATCCATCTTTTAGGCTGTACATGCAGGGTTAGTGACTTACTCAGCGTTCCCTTTCTCCTCCGGGGCTCATTGTAGATTTAGCTCCTGATGGCAACTCATTTCCTTACAGAGCTGTAACTTTTAGTCCATAACATAACACTCCCTGCCACTGCGTTGGAATGTTAAGACTATTTCTAGTTTATGAGCTCTCCCTTTGCACAAGTAGAGAAGCTTCCTCCTTGTTTGCTTGGTAGAACAGCCTTGAGTCTAAGACATGGCAGTTAGTACTCTTTCTGAGTTCATTAGCAACTCTGGCGAAAGCTAAGTACAAGAATGCTTCAGGAAGGAATAATCTACCCAAAGCAGTAAGACAAAGTCAGAAGATATTAAGAGCCCCAAAGATTTCATAGTGGAAAGATTAGCACAGTGTACATTGTGTTTTTGAAAGAGTAATTTAGAGGGGTTGGGGAGATAGCTCAGTAGAATAAGTGCTTGCTTGGCAAGCACAAGGGCCTGCGTTCAATCCCTGGTTCCGCAAAAAAAAAAAAAAAAAGTAATTTAGGAAACAGACCTAAATTTGGAGATGTGTTGAATTAATTTGTGATAGATGAGGGCTGGTGATGTAGCTCAATGGTAGACTGCTAAATCTCTGGGTGAATTCTGGGGTTGGAGATTTTTTGTTTTTGTTTTTGATCGAACTCAGGACGTTGCACTTGCCAGGCAGGTGCTTATGTCACTGAGCTATATCCCCAGCCCCGTTTTGATCTTTTTGAAACAGGGTTTCACTATGCAGTTCAGGCTGGCCTTGAATTCACTTTGTAGCAGAGGCTGGCCTCGAACTTACAGTGATCCTGCTGCCTCAGTCTCTTTGAGTGCTGGGATTATAGCATGCACTACCAGGCCCAGCTACGAAGTACTTTTTATAGGTAGAATAAATATTTATGTGTTTATGTTTGTCTTTAAAAAGTATATATATATATTTGCCCTTATGAGCTAGTTACATGTCAACTGAAGAGCAAACCAAAAGACATCTTTTCCACAGAGCTACTTGACTCAGTGCTGAAAAGTAAAAGGTATCAATAATTATGTTAGTAATTAACTTTCTGGACTAGATGTCAGACTCCTTGTTTAAGACCTAATTACCTGGATCCTGGTTGGAATACAGTATTTAAGAATGTGTCCTCAGGGCCAGTTTTGATGAAGGCGACAGGAGTGCAGATGTGTAAAGATTTAACAGTATGAACAGGGATTCTGAGTCCCAATTTATGACTAGAGGGAGAGTTTTTATTTAGCACCAAATGGGCCCTGAAAGAATGATGTGTCTAGATGGCGCCTTCTGCCTCTGCTGGAGATTTGGGACATCAGTGCCTGCGACTGTTAGGAAATTGCCCAGATTTCTCCACATTTGGCACCTCCCTGAGCACCATGTGTGAGTCTGGCTGGAAGAAGCTACGGTCCAAAATGACAGTAGCCTTCCAAGGCCATAATGGGCCCATCCCCAGTGATGGGACGTCTGACAATCTGTTAAAGTGATAGCTTGGCCAGGAAAAGGGACACGCTCAAGGTGGCCTCTTATCACTGCAATATTAGTGTCCTCAGTATCTTTGGAGTGGAATCTGTTTGGATTCCACTTGCAGGAAGCAAGTTGATGTGGTGCAGAGTGGGTGGAAGAGCCCTCAGTCATTGTGGCTCACTTTGTGTGCTGACATGTTTGTCAACAGCCGGAGCCTGGCCT